GGACTCTCGTGGTCGAGAGGTTACGGTTTTCGCCTCTCATTCTATAGGTCCCGGGTTCCAATCCGGATAGCGACCAGAGACGGCTCGTGGGGCTAAAAAGTGGGCATGCACAATTAATTAAGCTATCACAAGCTGAAGATAGCCAAGGGCACAGTAAATGGGATAGTGTATAATTTTAGGATCTTTGGGTTGGAGAGGGAGGACCCCGGGCTTTTATTTTCATTCCTTTTACTTGTTGCTTTGATTTCCAGAACTAAATCTGTTTGTTAGCTAAACATTAATTTAGTTCATCCTGCATTAGAACTGAACACTCAAGTACCCGGTAATAACGTTCACCACTCAAAACCATTCAAGACACAACTCATAGGACGGTGACTTGAGTATGTCACGTTCACCTCTCTCAGGTTCACGGTCAGAGTCACTTAAAATAGCCCAGTGGCAAGACTATGAGCCAATCAGAATTCACTTGAGCACTCTGCTGGATTGCTCCAGGGCTAACATAATTTTGGCATAGAATAGGGTACAGTCTATGGCGTTTATTTTTAGACTACCTATTGTGGACTATGTTTCGGCACGGTTCGACAGGAGCACATTTGAGGTGTGCCGACTAATTAATAATAATGTACCGCCAAACTCGCTACGAGTGTCGTCATCGCTTGGGTTGTCCCAAAGAGCGATTTATAGGTCAGGTTATCACTGTTGAATCTCCTATTACGTTTAGTTAAAGCGCGTGGGCTTTGTTTAACAGCGCTATAGACACAGAAATGACAGTTACGGCGCCAGCAAAGTCCTTGTTTTGATGAAATATTTTGCTAGTTCTGGCGTCTGTTATTTTATTATTGTGGGTACTTTACGTAAAAGAACAACACAAAATTTTGGGCGGCACTGCACGACCATGCTCTATGGACGAACCGCGCCTGATAGCGACGGAACATTTTCTTGTGTAACATTTTTTTTTCCTTTCACCTTCTTTCCAGCTCTCTAACAATGTTCTGCTTGCGTCTTCACTTTGTGCCCCCACCCTTCACCTTTGCCCCCCTCCCCCTCCTCCTCTGGCCTCCTGGTTGTTTCTGCAGCCTTTCTACTGCTTCTCCTTGGTTCTTTCCTTACAGCCACACCCCTGATCTTAGGGTAGGTAAAATCGAACACCTAGCGTTCTGGGATAAGGGCGAAAAATCTCAAAGGTTCCGTGTGCAAGTTGCGCACGTTAACGATCACATGGTGGTCCAAGATCGATAAGAGTAGACTTTGGCTGCCTCCCGGGTAAAATTCAAAATTTGCTACCTACTGAAAATGTGTCCCTCGCACTCATATGACCTTATGCAGTTGCGAGCGCCGTAAAACAATTACCAATAGCACCAAAAAAAAAGAAAAGCAGACCTGTCTCCACACGAGGCACGACACACAACACAGCGATGGGAAGCGTTCCGTCTTTCTCAATGGTGGTGCTACTGATTTCTACGCTTCGGTGACAACCAACCCCAATTAATAGTAGTTTTCAGTTGTTTTCTTCATATGATTTCTTTTTACAAATGAATAGAACCATGCTTATACTATAACATATTGTGCGAATCTGTGTGGGGTTTTTTTTGTATTGTTGTTGTGGTTTTTTAAAAAGTTTTTGTTTGCTTTTGATTGTTGGAAAAGTGCCGCAATATTGCCCCAGATCTACTGGTGGTCGGACATCGTCGTCTCCTACGTCTTAATAGAAGGGTCTGGTGATCTAAAAGAAATGTTATTCACTGACCTGAATACTTCGTAAATGAATTTAGCATGGTAAGACTCAATGTATTAATGTCAAGGTGTGAAATGATTTAGGGTGTTATTCGTGACATATTATTAATTATATCACGCATTGCCTTAGTGACGGCGGCCATCTTGAAAATAAACACAAATCTTAAATTCCTAAAATCTCAAACACTCATCAAGAGACGAGAAAGAAGGCTTTTTTTGTTGTTGTCGCAAGGAAATGAGGTCAATGTCGTCTAATGTGGTGTGCGTGCGTGTTTGTGGGAACCGCTTGATTGAACTATAGATTCATGGCGGGGTCGATAGAGTTCTCTGTTGTGTGTGAATGGAGCGTTATATAAATGATGTATATCTGAGCTTGTCCGGACTTGTGGGGACAGGGTACACATTTCGCTCCTCGCTCGTTCGCGAGATGAATATATAATGATTTGTATCGTTTGTGTTGAATGGGTCGCTGTTGTGAGCCGCGCTGTCGTGAAGACTATTGAGTTGTTGTGACTGACTGCTCGCTGTGTCGTGACAATATTGCGTGTGAGTGTGTGCGTGTGCGTGTGTGTGTGTGTGTGTGTGTGTGTGTGTGTGTGTGTGTGTGTGTGTGTGTGTGTGTGTTTGTATGTTTGAATATGTGCGTGTGTTTTTTAAATGAATCACCCAACCAGTATGATAGCTTCTAGACAATAATGATATCTTATTGGATCTTATCTGACCTGAAATGATCTTATCTTGTCTTATATGATAAAGCTGGTGAAGCTAAAAAAAGCTCATAATCTGTGTGATCTTACGCATAACACTGCATTGAAGTAAGCCTACT